TTGGAAGGGAGAAGTGACATGGGCTGTCCATCACCTGGCCCTGCCTTCCAGCCTCCCACAGGTCGGCCCCGTGGGACATGGACACTCTGTGGTGCGTTCTGGCTCGTTCAGTCTTGCACATCTCTGGGGTTGGTGGTCGTGAAGAGCAGGTCCCAGCCTAGCTCCTGGGCTGGCCCTGCCTCCTTGTCTGCTTGTCCCTCTTGCTGGCCAGTCTGTCTGTCCCTGTCCCTCACCTAGAAGCCCACAGGAGCAGGGCACCCAGCAGTGTGCTGAGAGCAGGGCATGGCTGGGCTCAGCAACTTGGCACTGGGGCCCGTCCTTACCCAGAGCAGAAGCTCGCTCTCCTCCACCCACAGTAAGAGCCCGTGTGGGGGAGTCTCAGGACCCTGACACCGCCTGCACGTCCCCTCCAAAAGGCTGGGCGCCCTCCACCAGGTAAGCTGCCCAGACAGCCCAAGCTCCTCCAGCTCAGTGCAGCCCAGATCCCTGCCTTTCTCTCTGGGAGGCGGGAGCACTGTGGTCCCAGCTTCACCCTTCATAGCTGACGTCAAATGACAGCATCAAAGGGACCGACTTTGCCTTCCCCGCCTGGCTTTGCAAACGGGCCTCCTGGGTGCACCCTACATGGTGGTCAACCAGAGCCTGCCCCTTCCACTTCACTGCCGATGGGCACTTAGTCCACCTCCATGTCCTGCAAGTGTGCTCCCTCCCCGCCTGCAGCTGTGGGCACCGGGCAAGGCCACCCTCTCAGTGGCCTCCTCACTCTCCTCACCCAGCTTGCTGTCTCCTGTAGTTCATCCCGGGCGTTGTACTCTGTTTACACGGTAGGTTGCCGCCTCTACCTGCGTTGCGTTGGGGGACCATGCCTCCCCACCAGGGTGGCCGTGACTCAGTTCAGACCGAGGGACTTTGCCACAGGCTGCGGCTGCCTGGTGCCTACAGTGCTCCTGCATGTTGCCCAAAGTCGTAGCCTCCTCGCTGCCAGTCGCCACAGCCTCCTCACACCTGGGTTTGGCCAGTGGGATGGACGTGCATGTTGTTCCGGTGGTGACTTTGGGTCAGTCTCTTTGCAGGGTGTTTTCTGCCTGCCTTTCTTTCTGATTGCTGGAAGCAGGCTGTAACCATGGGGGTAAGTAAGATGCTTGACCAGGTGATGGAAAAGCCTGGCATGGG